CCCCCCTGTTGAGCCCCCCCCTGTTGAGCCCCCCCTGTTGAGCACCCCCCCTGTTGAGCCCCCCCCCCTGTTGAGCCCCCCCCCTGTTGACCCCCCCCCCTGTTGAGCACCCCCCCTGTGACACCCCCCCTGTTGACCCACCCCCCCTGTTGAGCCCCCCCCCCCGTTGAGCACCCTCCCTGTTGAGCTCCCCCCCTGTTGAGCCCCCCCCTGTTGAGCCCCCCCCCCTTTCTCAGGACCTCTACGCCCTGACCAAGGCCACCAAGAGCGTCATCTTTGACATTCCTTGGGGTGCACTCCAGCCGTGCACTACTACAAGAGTTTTGCTGCAGGGCTGGGCCTCCCTTGACAGCCCGCCCTCCTGACGCCCCCACCTCTTCACCCCCTCACCACTCCCCCCCCCCCCCATTTCCCCCCTCTCAGGACCTCTACACCATCACCAAGACCACCAAGATTGTGGTCTTTGACGTGCCTCCCCTCGGGTGCCTGCTTGCCATGTGCTATTTCAAGAAGACCCCCCTGGGGCAGTGCGACGAGGCGGCCAACAAGAGAGCTGATCAACAAGACCGGGGGCGGCGGGTGAATTCTTGCTTCCCCACCTCCCTTGCATCCACCTGACTCAAGCCTGCCCTCCCTCCCTCTCCTCTTCCCCCCTTGCCTAATTTAGGACCTCTATGCAATGACCAAGACCACGAAAATAGTCGTCTTTGACGTCCCTCCTCTCGGGTGCCTGCCAGCTGTCCGTTATTTCAAGAAGACCCCCCCGGGGCAGTGCGACGAGGCGGCGAACAAGATAGCCGACCAGCACAACACGGGGATCAGAGTGAAGCTGGATGCGCTGAGAGGGAAAGGGGTGACAAACCTGATCATGTTCAAACAGAGCACTGTCTTCAGGGTGAAAGCCACTGCTGCAGGTGTGTGGGTGTGTGCGTGAGAGTGAAAAAGTGAGTGAGTGAGTGAGTGAGAGGGTGAGAGCAGGAAGGAGAGTGAACAAGATCGCTGACCAGCACAACACAGGGCTGAAAGTGAAAAGGGTGAGTGAGTGGGGGAGAGAAGGAAGGAGTTTGAGCAAGATAGCTGACCAGCACAACACGGGGCAAGAGTGAAGCTGGATGCGCTGACAAGTAAAGGGGTCACGAACCTGATCATGTTTAAGCAGAGCACTGTGTTCCAAGTCAAGGCCACTGCTGCAGTTGGGTGGGAGAAGGGGAGAGGAGGGAGAGGTGGAGTGTGTTGAGGGAAGGGGAGGGAGGAGTGCCCTGTTTATTTCAATTTCAAGCAATCAAGTCAGCACCTCAATTCTCTCACTTTCCTCCTATCATCTTCCTCTTTCCCAATCCCCTCCCCCACCACCCTCCTCTAACCATCAGGTGGTTTCATCGACAAAACTTCGGTGTGCTGCGAGGGTAAAACACCCAGTGGAGCGAGGATAGCCTGCGGGCAGACAGTGAAAGAGGGCGGCAAGACCTACAGTGCCACGGCGTGCAAGGACCCGACGAAGTATGTGTGGTGGGATTGGTACAACCCCACAGAGGCTTTTAATGAGGTGTTATCAGGGATTCTGTGGCACAGTAACAGTGTTTCATATGTTACCCCGTTTGGGTTGAAGTCTATCGTCGATAAGTAGATAGATTTAGGTGGGAGTGGCATATGTCCACACACTTGACAGCATGTGGTAATAATGCTTTAATGATAAAACACATACCAAAACCCCCCATATGACTAGCAGAACCTTGTCAAACATAAGCATAACTCATGTTTGTATAGACTGTATAGGGTCCCCTCTTAGAGGGTACAACACTTTTAGGTATACACCCTTGTACTCTCTCTCTATTCATCAATTCTTAAGTTCTAAGATGGTATCAGCAGTAGGTAGGTCCCACTGCCCCCCCACACTTCCGCCCTAGGATCTACCCCCGTGCGTCGCGCCCCCTAGGCCCCGTCGCGTCACCTAGGACCAGTCGCGCCCCCCCCTGGGCCCGTCGCGCCCCCCTGGGCCCCGTCGCGTCCCCTAGGACCAGTCGCGCCCCCCCCCTGGGCCCGTCGCGCCCCCCTGGGCCCCGTTGCGTCCCCTAGGCCCCGTCACGCCCCCCCTGGGCCCCGTCACGCCCCCCTGGGCCCCGTCGCGCCCCCTGGGCCCCGTCACGCTCCCCTGGGCCCGTCGCGCCCCCTAGCACCCGTCACGCCCCTCCTGGGCGCCCCCCCGTTGGTGCCTCCTGGCCCTGTCGCGCGACTCCTAGCCCGTCGCGCCTTACCTAGCCTGTCACGCCTTTCCTCGCCCGTCGCGCCTTTCCTAGCCCGTCGCGCTTCCTAGTCCGTCGCTCCAGCCCCGCGACCGTCCCAGCCGGCCCCGCGACCGTCCCAGCCGGCCCCGCGACCGTCCCAGCCGGCCCCCCAACCGTCCCAGCCGGCCCCGCGACCGTCCCAGCCGGCCCCGCAACCGTCCCAGCCGGCCCCGCGACCGTCCCTGCCGGCCCCGCGACCGTCCCAGCCGGCCCCGCGACCGTCCCAGCCGGCCCCGCGACCGTCCCAGCCGGCCCCCCGCCCCCCCCCGCGACCGTCCCAGCAGACCCCGCGACCGTCCCAGCCGGCCCCGCGATCGTCCCAGCCGGCCCCGCGACCGTCCCAGCCGGCCCTGTGCCCCTCCCAGCCGGCCCTGCACCTGTTCCAGCCGGCCCCGCGACCGTCCCAGCCGGCCCCTCGTGCCCGTCCAGGCCGCCCCTGCACCCGTCCCAGCCGGCCCCGCGACTGTCCCAGCAGGCCCCGCGCCCGTCCCAGCCGGCCCCGCGCCTGTCCCAGCCGGCCCCGCGCCCGTTCCAGCCGGCCCCGCGCCCGTCCCTGCCGGTCCTGCGCCCGTCCGAGCCGGCTCCCGCGCTTGTCCCGGCCGGCCCCGCGTCGACTTCCGGCCCTTCCTCGCCGGCCCTACGACCGTCCGATCTGCACTCTCCCTGGTACGGTTCTCCACCACCTTTCACCGCACTGTACCGCACTGCACCGCACCGCATTGCACTTCGCTGCACCGCACTGCACTGCCCTGCTCTGCACTGCACCGCACTACACCGCACTGTACAGTCCTGCACTGCCCCTGATGGCGGCGGAGCTTCGCTTCGACGCTGAAGGCCAGCCTCTGGAGTTCGAGGCGTGGCTTGCCGACCTCCGGCGTCAACTCACTGGCCAGCGGCAGGATGGTGAACCGCTTTCCGCACACCTTGACGGTACGCTCCCCTGCCCAGACCCCCCTGCTGTTCTGCCCGCTAACTCCGCACCCACTGAGCGCGAGTCTACTGCTGCCACTGCCCGTGCGCGCTCTGTCTGGCTTTCTCGAGATGCTGTCGCTCAGCTTGCCATTAGCAATGCCCTTCCCCCATCCGAGCGCCCCCGCTTTAGGTCCCTCACTACTGCCCAGGCTTACTTAGATGCTGTCATCAAGTGCTATTCCACCCCTCCGGCTGCCTCGGTGGGTCGCCTGATCCTCCCGATGCTCTTTCCTGACCTTGCGTCTTTCCCCACTGTCTCTGACCTCGCTGCCCACCTGCACTCGATAGATGAGACCTGGCGCGCTGCCTGCACTGACGCACAGCTTAGAGCCCACCAGCCGCCCATTACCTCTACCCTTTACCTGCTTGCCACCCGCCTCCCTGACCGCCTTGCTGTCGCCCGCGACCGCTTCCTTAGCATTCACCCCGCAGACCTCACCCTCACTGACTTTGTAGACACCCTGTCTGTGATTGAGACCCGCCACCGCTCCATCGCCCAGGCGAGCGGTACCGTGCCGGTCCCTATCTTTCAGGGTTGTGCCCCCGCTCAGTGTACTTTCTCCGACGGCTCTGCCGCTGTGGCTAAGACTGCTGCTGCAGCGCAGTTTCGTTCGGGGAAGGGCCGCCGCCCCAAGGTTGGGCGCGGCGGAGGAGGTGGGGGTGCGGGAGGGGGTGGTGGTGGAGTCGGGTCGTCTGGTGCTGGAGCGGACGAGGGGACCCTGCCCAGTCCAGCTGAGCCGCCGCCCCTGCAGTCACAGCAGCAGCAACAGCCGCAACAACCGCCGCAGTCGCAGCAGCTGCAGCCTTCGCAGCAGCCGCCGCAGACGCGGCAGACGAGTGTCCTCCCGCCCGGGTGGCCCGGCGCTGGCGGTGGTCGGGCGCGTGGTGGTGTGCCAAGTGGTGGTTCTGGAGGCGTGTGTTGTCAGTACCAGATCCAGACCGGTCCTCGCCGCGGCTTCGTTTGCGGTAAGATCGGTCACTCCACTCCCCGCTGTTTTCGTCGCCTGGACGACCTGTTTCGTCAGCGCTTCGGCCCGTCGCCAGACCTCCTGGACTGGCACAGTTTGCTTAGTCGTAAGATTCAGATTTTTGACATGGACATGGATGCCATTGTTTCTGCTCTGCATGTGATGTATGCTGATGACTCTAGTGTGCTTCCCGTTTATTACTCACTGTCGGCTAGTGTAGGTGTGCCTAGCTTAGCCTCCCCTGCTGCGTCAGGCATAGGATCCCCTGCTTTGTGTAGTCTTGGTGCTTCCGCCGTCGTTCCGTCGCCAGACGCCTCTGCTTCGCTTTCCTTCACCTTGGACTCTGGCGCTTCCCGGTGTTTCTTCCGCGACTTCACCACACTGACGCCGCTTCCTGTTCCTGCTGCCGTTTGTCTTGCTGACCCCTCCGGCGGTCCGGTAGTCGCCCGCAGTTCCACCACCCTTCCCTGTCCGGCGGTTCCTTCGGGCACTCTCACAGGTCTGCATATCCCCTCGTTCTCCAGGAACCTAGTTGGTGTCGGCTGCCTCCAGGACCTTGGCGTCACCACTACGTTCCCTGGTCACGAGCGGTATGCTGTCTGTACCGAGGCCGCCACGGGTGCCCCCCTGTCCACGTTCCCCCGGGACCCGGTGTCCGGCCTGTTCACTCTGGACACCGTGACCCCCCCGGCTGGGGCGCCTCCTCCGGTGGCTGCGTCTACCCAGGTTGCTGCTGCCTGCTCCTGTCGGTCCCTCACTCACCCGACTCTCCTTTGGCACCACCGCCTAGGTCACCCTTCGCTCCCGCGTCTGCGTCACATGTCCCAGCACGGTCTTGTCCTTGGTCTCCCAGGTTCTCTCCCCGCGTTTCCCTCCTCCCCAGCCCCACCTTGCACGCCTTGTGTCGAGGGTCGGCTTCGCCGTGCCCCTCACTCCTCCTCGTTTCCCCCTACCGCCGCGCCGCTGCAGACCCTGCACCTGGACGTCTGGGGCCGCGCCCCTGTCCCTGGGCCGCGTCGCGAGCGCTACTTCCTTGTGCTTGTCGACGACTTTACTCGCTACACCACAGTCTTTTCCCTGGAGCGCAAGGCCGCCGTGCCTGGCGCTCTCATCCCCTGGCTTGTCTCTGCGCGTGTCCACCGCGGTCTCCCTGTCTTGCGTCTTCACTCCGACCGTGGTGGCGAGTTTGCCTCAAGTGTCCTTGGTCGCTTTTGTCGTGCGGAGGGCATCACCCAGACGTTCACCCTACCGGACTCCCCACAGCAGAATGGGGTCGCTGAGCGACGCATCGGTTTGGTCATGGAGGTGGCTCGCACCTCCATGATCCATGCCGGTGCACCCCATTTTCTGTGGCCGTTCGCTGTGCGCTACGCTTCTCACCAGCTTAACCTGTGGCCGCACCCCCAGCAGCCGCAGGTTTCGACGACCCGTCTTTGGACTGGGTCTCCTGGTGACGCGTCTGCGTTCCACGTCTGGGGCTGCCTTGCTCACGTCCGTGCCTCCGGCACGGACAAGCTCAATGCCCGCACCCTTCCCTGCGTCTTCCTCGGCTTTCCCCTTGACGCGTCCGACTGGCACTTTTACCACCCGCCGTCTTACCGCTTCTTTCACTCTCGCGACGTCACCTTTGACGAGTCCGTCTCCTACTACCGTCGCTTCCCCCACCGCGGTCCCCCGGTTACCCCCCCCCTGTTCCTGGTCACTCCTTCCCCGGTAGTCCCTGCCCCTCCCCCTCCTCCTCCCCGTCCTGCCCCCTCTGGTGTCTCCCGCGTCACCCCCCTTCCGTCGGTGGACCCGGTTGAGGAGTCTTCTGACTCTGATGGCCCTGCTGCGCAGTCCTTGCCGGCCGCCCCTCCCCCGGCGTCCCCTCCCCAGTCCCCTCCTCCACCGCCTCTGCCGCCGCTGCAGGCGTCGTTGTCGCCGCCGCTGCCGCCGCCGTCGCAGCACCCGGTCGTTGACTCTGAGGGTGCTAGTCCCGGTAGCCTTGGGGGTGGATCCTATGGGGGTGCTGGTGTGGAGTGTGCCGGTGGTAGCCGCGGAGCCGCTTGCAGTCTCGGTGTCGCTGTTGTGCCGCCGCAGCAGCAGTCCCTGCAGGTGTCAGCCCTTCGCCTGCTCGGCCTTCTGTCCCCTGACCCTGCGGCTGTTCCTCTCCGACCGTCTCCTCCTCTTCCCGTCTACGGCCTTGTGTTCCCCTCGCCGGACTCGTCCCCGGCTTGTCTTCCTCCTCGTTCCCCTCTTGTGTCCCCTCCCCTGTCTCCTGACCCGACTCCTCCGTCGCACGTCTGGTCTCACCGTCCCTCCCGTGCTCGTCCTGCCTCGCCTGTCTTGCGCTCCCACCCTATGTTGCTTCGTTCCCACGCGTCTCGTCCTCCCCTTCTCCCGTCGCCTCCTCCGTCCTCCCTTGTTGTTGCACCCCCCCCGCTGTCTGAGTACCTTCGTGCCGCTCGTCCTCTTGTTCCTCGGGTCCTTGCCTCTCTCGTTACCGACCCGTCTCTTCCGGTCTCGTGCCTTGACGCTCTTGTTGCAGCGGTCGCTGACTACGCCTCTACCCGCCGCCTTGACTACGCCACCGCTCTGGTCTCTGACCCTGCCTGTCCTCCGTCTGTCGGGGGTGCTCCTGCCCTTGGCAGTGACGTCCTGGAGGATCGCCAGTTTGAGCTTGCTTTCCTGTCCGAGGCTGCTCCCCATCTCTGTTCCATGCTGCTAGTCCCTGAGGGTGACCCAGACGCTTTCGACATCCCGACCCCTCGCACTTACGCTGAGGCGACCTCGGGACCTTGGGCCTCTCAGTGGATAGCTGCCATGGAGCAGGAGATGGCATCTTGGAGATCCACCGGCACCTTCGTCGACGCAGTTCCCCCGCCTGGGGTGAACGTAGTCGATGGCCGCTGGCTTTTCAAGGTGAAGCGCCCTCCTGGAGAGCCGCCTGTGTTCAAGGTGCGCTACGTGGCTAGAGGCTTCAGTCAGCGTGAGGGGGTGGACTTCTTCCAGACCTTCGCCCCGACCCCGAAGATGACTACTCTTCGGGTTCTGTTACACCTAGCTGCTTAGCGTGACTACGAGCTTCACTCCCTCGACTTCTCCACTGCCTTCCTTCAGGGCAGCCTACACAAGCAGGTCTACTTGCGTCGCCCTCAGGGCTTTACTGGCACCTTCCCTCCTGGGACCCAGTGGCTCCTGCGGCGCCCCGTCTACGGCCTGCGCCAGGCTCCCCGTGAGTGGCACGACACTCTCCGTGCTATGCTTGCTGACCTGCAGTTCTTTCCGTCTTCTGCAGACCCCTCACTCTTCGTTCGTGCTGGCCAGACTCCGTTCTACATCCTTGTTTACGTCGACGACCTGGTCTTTGCCACAGCAGACAGGGACGCACTAGCCTCCGTGAAGGCAGAGCTGCTGAAGAGACACACATGCACTGACCTTGGAGAACTGCGCCGTTACCTTGGCTTGCAGATCTCCAGGGACAGAGCAGCGCGCACCATCACCCTGACTCAGTCACACTTGGTGCGCCAGGTCCTTTAGAGGTTCAGCCTTCAGTTCTCCTATGCACAGCCCACCCTTCTGCCTGTAGACCACAGACTCTCCGCTCCAGTGTCTGAGGAGTCGGTAGAGCCCAGCGGCCCCTACGCAGAGCTGGTGGTTGCCTCATGTACCTGATGACTTGCACTCGCCCAGATCTCGCGTACCCTTTCAGCATCCTGGCTCGCTTTGTGGCCACAGGCAGACACCGACCGCAGCACTGGTCTGCCGCTAAGAGGGTTTTGTGTTATCTTGCTAGTATATCGGGCATGGGGTTAGTGCTAGGAGGACGCAGACCAGTGGTCCTTACTGGACACACAGACGCTTCGTGGGCAGACGATGCTTAGACACTCAGGTCTACCCAGGGCTACTGCTTCAGCCTTGGCTCAGGTGTCGTCTCGTGGAGAGCTACCCGCTCCTCGACTGTTGCCCAGTGCAGCTGTGAGGTTGAGATCTACGCTGGTGCCATGGCGGCACAGGAGCTCCGCTGGCTGACCTTCTTGCTCACTGACTTAGGTGAGCGGCCTAGCTCTGCCCCGGTCGTGTTCGCTGACAACAGGGCCATGATCCTCCTGTGCCAGGAGCCTCGACTCGAGGGCAGAGCGAAGCATATTCAGCTGCGATACTTCCTCCTGCGCGAGCTATAGCAGCGACGCCAGGCTCGCGTAGTACACTTGGCCTCAGGTGCCAACACAGCTGATATCTTTACGAAGGCGCTTGCGCCTAAAGATCATCAGCGGCACTGCGTACAGCTTGGTCTAGTTCCTGTAGCCTCTCACTTGCTAGGGCCTTGACTTTGTAGTGTCCTTTATATACATATTCAGACTGGACTTGTGTCCTCTCCCAGTGGCTGGACTAGTAGTGCCGCCCTGGTCTTGTGCTTGCCTTGTCTAAACTCCGTCTGACTGGTCTTTTAGACCCTTGTCTCAGAGGTTGGACTAGTAGTGCCGCCCTGAGCTGCTTGTTCAAGTCATTCCCCTATGCAGTCTAGGGGGTGTGTCAAACATAAGCATAACTCATGTTTGTATATACTGTGTAGGGTCCCCTCTTAGAGGGTATAACACTCTTAGGTATATACCCTTGTACTCTCTCTCTATTCATCAATTCTTCAGTTCTAAGAAACCCCGCATTCTAATGTCTTGCGGACATTGGATGGGGCTCCTATTCTTGCATAAGAAGCAGCAAATTGTGATGTAGAGATTCGAAGTTCATGTGTTGAGCTTACGCTTTGGGTAGGAAACCCTGCCCTTCAGTATTCTCGTAGGTTTGAAATTTTTTTAATCCAAGAGCACCCCTCACATTTTCTCAACCAAATGTAAGGTCAGGATACGCCCAAGCAAACTAGCATAATTTCCATCCCTCCTTAGTTAATATGATAAGTCCTATACAGAGTTCAGACTTACCTTTGGGTCAATTTGAGTCACCCTTGGCTCGCCCAGTCTTTTGGGGGCGTCAGGACTTTCCTCCAAACCGAACAAACCGAACGAGCCTCCTGTCTCCGGTCCCGCTGTAGGCTTCCCATTCGTCATCTTAACAGCAACAGCTCCGCCCCGAGTCACCCCAATTGCTTCGGCTCCTGCATGAGCCTCCAGCGTGGCTTGTAGAGCGTCCAGCGAGGCAGGAGGGCTCGCCGTACCTATCAGCCTCACCTTGTCACCAACGACAAGGTTACAAGAATGCCCATTGCTCGCTCCCTCGCTCCTTGCCTGCATGGCGATTTGGGGATCTTGCCGTAGTGCGACCCGTTGTATCGCGCAGACCTAGCAGCAAACCGGATGGCATCGCACAGAAACGATAAATCAGTCAATACGGACAAGGAAATCCCGAGAACCCTTCGCTCTGCCGCTCCACGTCCCTCATGGGGCAATAACCAGGGGAGCAGAGCAGCGATTCCCGAGGTTCATTCTGTCACAGCACATGATTATTTACTCAGTACATGCGGCCTATTCTCTCTCGGCCTTTTCTTTTTGTCTTCTTGCAGTTATGCTGTATGGCTCCCTTCGCACGACAATAGATTCTCGCTTCTTAGTGGCATGCGAGCGTGCATCTCAGGGTACGGGACGACGCGGTGTCGCTGGGTACAGATTGAAGCGTACTGATCTGCCAGGTTTTCTCAAGTGGGAAGTTATACCTTGATTGATTGGCCTTTGGAAGATTGGTCTGCTCATTGTGACGACGGCTTAGGGCACGTTACACGTTACGTCACACGTCAGCACGTCGCACGTCGCACGTCGCCCGTCGCACGTCAACTCGTCAGAGCGCTGCGGTTTTCTCCGCCAGATCGCAATGGCAGCGGCGACGTTTATTTCCGAAAGTAAGGGTCTCCACGAGACCTAGATCTTAAAATCCTCTGAAATTAGAACCATTTGAACCTAAAATCCTTTGAACTTAAAATCCTTTAGATGGTGGAGTGCATGGTGGAGTGGTCCCAGCATTCATGTTCAGGCGTGCTTACTAGTAACGTAGCACATCCTCGCTTCGTAGCGTTTCTTCACTTTCGCTCGCGTCACCGTCGCAATTTAGGGAGCCAAATGACTCATTTGTGCACCATCGCAAATTCGCGGCCTTTTTTTCTTTCGCTTCGTCTTCGTGACTCAGTAGCCTTGTATGGCGAGGCTGGCCGACTCGGATGTCACATGACTCCACCTTCCAATCTGTACTTAGGCTATGTGCATGATGTGCATGATGTGCATGATGTGCATGATGTGCATGGTGTGCATGGTGTGCATGTGCATGATGTGCATGATGTGCATGGTGTGCATGGTGTGCATGTGCATGATGTGCATGATGTGCATGATGTGCATGATGTGCATGGTGTGCATGGTGTGCATGATGTGCATGCGGTTCCTGCTACCACAGTGCATACGTCTCCTAGTCCCTCCCTCATACCATCTTCCGCCTCTCATGCTTCGGTCATCCCGCTCCCTTCCCGACCAGTTGACTGCTTGTACTCGTGCGGCTACGGCACCTGCTCAATGGATTCCATAGGCTTCTATGCGTGCACGTGCGGTGCCGGCTTCGCTATGCAGACCGTCCCTCCTCTGTGTGTCATTTCCGGTATGTGTTTATGCTACAACCGTGCTACAGCCATGGTGTGTGCCCTGTGAACCTGTGTGGACATACATGTGCACGTGCGATGCGGGATACCACATGCAGATCGGCTCGCCTCCTTGTCTGCTACCCACCGGTTTGTGTGGGTATGCTAAAGACGTGCTACTGCAATGGGTATGCATCATCCGTGCTACAGCCGTGGCATGTACCCTGTGAACTTTGTGTGGCTTGTAGGTGTACATGCAGAGTGGCGTGTCCCCTTGTCTCAACCATAGTATGCACTACAGCCGTGTGCTCCAGCCATGCTCTACAGCCATGCCCTACATCCATTCGCCACAGCCTTGCACTACAGCCATGTGATACAACCATGTGCTACAGCCGTTCGCTACAGCCGTGTACTACAGCCCATAAGGAAAACCTGAAACACAAGAAGCATTGTAAACCGCACCCAGCTACCTCCCGTGCACCTCCCCCTCCCACCTTGCCTGGCAGGCTCGCCCTCCCACCAAGGAGGGGGTGGCTCTCCGTCCCCTTCACCCCCCATCTCCTCCCCTGCTGCCAACTTTTCTCAGCCTTCCTCCAATTTCTCCCAGCCCTCCGCCTCCTCCTCCTCTTCAGGCGCCTCAGCAGGGGTGATCGCTGGCATTGTGGCCGGCGTGGTGGTGCTGCTGCTGGCGGCAGTGGGGGGGGGACTCTACTTTTTCTACTTCAGGCGGAGGCAGCGGCGGAGGGAAGGGGCACCCCAGTGGGACTCTGGAAAGGCGCCGTATCCTAATGTGTATGCGGCAGGAGGAGGCATGTCTGCTGCTGCTGGTGCTACTGGCGCTGCTGGTGGTGCTGCTGGTGCTGGGGATCCCTTGGCGTCTGGAAGGAGGGGAGGGTACGAGCAGGGGTATGCGGGGAACTATGGTGTTAATGCAAGTGCGAGCTCTGGTAGTGGGAGTGGGAGTGTGGGGAGTGGTTACATGGGAGGTGGTAACCTGGGGTATGCGGCAGGAGCGGGGGGAGGAGCAGTGGGAGCAGCATACGGGGCAGTAGGAGCGGGGCCGTTCAACTCTGGAGGGGGCGTTCACCCCATGTACATGGGAAGTAGGTTGTTCAACCCATCCCAAGTAATTTGTCTCTACCCATCCCAAATAATTTGTCTCTACCCATCCCAAGTAATTTGTCTCTACCCATCCCAAGTAATTTGTCTCTACCCATCCCAAGTAATTTGTTTCTTCCCATCCCAAGTGATTTGTCTCTACCCATCCCAAGTAATTTGTCTCTTCCCATCCCACGTAATTTGTCTCTTCCCATCCCAAGTGATTTGGATCTACCCATTCCAAGTAATTTGTCTCTTCCCATCCCAAGTAATTTGGAACTTTCCAACTGACAATAACTGCATGATTGCCTGCAAAGATTGCCGGAAATTGCCAGAACTTACCCCCCACGCTTACCCCCCCACGCTTGCCCACTTATTTCTCCCATCCACTCCCCTCCTCCTCCCTTCTTCTCCCCCCTCGCTCCTTCCGCATCTCCTCCCATTTGCACCACCCCCGCTGCTCCTCCCCCTTCATTTGGCAATTTCTTTCAGGTGGATACTTGGGGGGACAGCAGCAGCAGCAGCAGCAGCAGCAGCAGCAGCAGCAGCAGCAGCAGCAGCAGCAGCAGCAGCAGCAGCAGCAGCAGCAGCAGCAGCAGCAGCAGCAGCAGCAGGGGGGCTTCGACTACGCGCCTCAAGTGTGCCAGAGGTTCACATACGCTGACATGGCGCACGCCACCAACAACTGGGCTGAGAGCAACCGCATTGGAAGTGGCGGCTTTGGCGACGTGTACCGGGGCGTGTGCCCTTACGACCACAACGTGCCGTGGGCCGTGAAGCGAGGGCGAGTCATCACAAAGGACTTCCAACGAGAGGTAAGCACAATACCATAGTACCCGGTTGACGTGTAGCAGGGCGTGTGCCCGTACGACTACAATGTGCCGTGGGCTGTGAAGCGAGGGCGAATCATCACAAAGGAATTTCAAAGAGAGGTATGTCAAAGGCGAGATACATCAGCTACTCACCATGCCATGGCTTTGGCTACGTGTACCGGGGTGTGTGCCCGTACGACCACAATGTGCCGTGGGTCCTGACGCGAGGCCGGTTCATTACCAGGGGCTTCCAATGGGAGATGTGCAAGTTGCAACTAGTTTTGAGGCGCCTAAAAATAGGTGTGTGCCCTTAGGACCACAATGTGCCATGGGTCGTGAAGCGAGGCTGGTTCATGACCAAGGGCTACCAACGAGAGGTATGCAATGGTTGGGTGTTTTTTTAGAAATCTCAAAAACACCCTTGGTCATCCATTGGTCTGGTCGTTGAACAGGACTTCAAATAAAGTTGGTCACTTGGGTTTATCTTTTAGAATTTGTACATAATCATGGGTTTGGTACTTACCACATGTTTAGTTGTCTCATGTCGTGTCTTGTGAGTATGGCACTAAAGTAGTACACTCGGTGATGCACCAAATATGTAGCATCAACAACAGGTATGGTTTGTAACCACTGGCGGTCAAACACATAGTAAAAGCCTGTGGTATTCAACCATAGGGTTGGTACTCAAATGTATAGCACATACTGTTGAATTGTAGCAGCCTTATCAATTCCCCCTCTTCCCTTCGACAAAGCGTAGCTCCTCTGACCCTCCTTTCCCTTCCTCCCTGTCACTTTTCGTGGCAGGTGGCAGCAATGGCAACGAAGCACCACCCGCATCTGGTCCGCCTGTTAGGCTACTGCGTTGATGTCGATCCAGCAGCACAGGGCAGGGGCGAGGTGGCCATGGAGCAGATCGTGGTGTACGAGTTCATGGCCAATGGAGACCTGGAGCGGTGGGTTGGGGAGGGCGTGCCGCAGCCGCTCTCCATGGCGCAGCGCCTCACCGTGCTCATTGGGGCGGCGCACGGCATCGAGTACCTGCATGGCTTTGGCATCGTGCACCGCGACATCAAGCCCGCCAACATTCTCATAGATCACAAGTTCGAGGTCAGCCCTTGTTTCAGGTACATCCATTTGTCAAGTTACCGCACAGCTTTGGCATCGTGCACCGCGACATCAAGCCCGCCAACATTCTGCTGGATCACAAGTTTGAGGTCAGCATGTCTTGAGCTGTGGCGTTCGGCCACGCTCCGCTGGGGCCAGCCCATATCTCTTGGTACCCTGCCAACATTCTCCTGGATCACAAGTTTGAGGTCAGTTCTTCTCGTGCTATATTCGTTTTCCATGGTCCATCAGCACATGCCCGATGCTTTTGGTACCTGCATGCCTAGAATTAACCTCCACTGCGAGCGACCTTGAAATTCCCAATTCTTGGCTCTGACACCACTAGGAAACTGTATTAGGGAACTCTATTAGCACTTCTATACACCATACCACATGCACTACCCTCTGCCTTGCCTCGTGCTCCCCCCACCAGGCTAAGATTGCAGACTTTGGGCTGCTGAGGGAGGGGGAGGGCACGACAGTTTGCGCCACTAGAGTGATGGGCACACCGGGCTATGTGGATCCAGCTTACTTCAAGTCTAACAAGGCCACCCCCATGGCTGATGTATACAGGTACAGTGCGGTAAAGAGTGGTATTAGTGACTCGTACATGTCTTTATGTGATGGACTCACCGTGGATCCTGCTTACTTCAAGTCCAGCAAGGCCAACCTCATGGCGATGTGTACAGTTACAATGAGGTAAAGAGTGGTATTGGTTACTTGTACATGCATGTAAGCTTATGGACGTATAGTGATGGGCACACCTGGCTACGTGGAATGTCCAAGTATTTAATGCATCTCTGCTTACTTCAAGTCCAACAAGGCCACCCCCATGGCCGATGTGTACAGGTACAGTGCGATAAAGCGTGGTATGAGTCGTACAACCATAGGCACATTCATACATGGGTGTTTTTGATACACCGGGCTTGTTCTACCTTACCTCTTTCAAGCCTCTCACTCATACAGCCCTCTGCTTTTCCTGTAACCGCACCCATTTCCCTGCTGCCCCCCCCCCCCCTCCTCCTCCAAACGCTACAGCTTTGGCATTGTGATGCTGACGGTGCTGACAGCACGCCAGTCAGTCATTCCACAAGGCAATGACAGCCAGCTGAACATCCGGAAATGGGTGAGTCGAGCCGTGCCATTTCATGCCATAGTTCGTTCAAGGTGTCATGGCTTTAGGCCCTTTGTTAGTCATCCCACAGGGCAGTGACAGCCAGCTGAACATACAGAAATGGGTGAGTCCAGCCGTGCGATGCAATGCTTGCTATCCATACCATACCATGCCATGCCATGCCATGCCATGCCTCCTATCCATGCCATACCCATTCAGACTGTCACAGGGACCATCAGGCATTCTTCTACCTTTGCTGTTCCCCTGGCGCTCTGAGCAACTAACGCTCAGTGTTCCAATTCTTCTCACTGACACTCCAGTTCCACTGCTGCATTCAGTCCCTCTCAGCCCCAAGGCCTCATTGAAGCTGGCAATGCGCAGTCTCTCCGTCTCTCATTCCCTCACCCCTCCTACACGCTCTCTTTCCCATACCCATCCCCTTTCCCCTCAGGCGGAAGACCTTCTCAAGGCAGGCAAGGCGTCCGAACTCAAGGATCCCCGATTGGACGCTCCGGCAGATTTGATTCTGCGGATGGCGCAGCTGGCGCTGCGCTGCACTGCCATGCCGACCGTGTCTCGTCCCGACATGGTGCAGGTTGTATCTGAGCTCTCAGCGCTCAGGAAGGAATACCTGGGGGAGGCGCCACCCAGGATGGCGGCTAGGATAGACGAGGAGGTGGAGGAGCTTAGGGTTGGGGATTTTAGTGCGGAAATAAGGATGGCTGAAAGGATGGCGTTTCAGAATAGCACCAGCGCATTGAGTATTCGATAAAGGAGTTGGAAGTCAGGCAGTAGCAAAGAAATACGCATAGAATGAAAGGATGGAGTTTCAGAATAGCACCCGGCGCAATGAGCATCCGGTAGAAAAAGGAGTTGCCTTAAGGCGGTAGGCAGCAGCACTCAGGAACGAATACCTGGGGGAGGCGCTGCTGGTGATGGGCAGGAATATCAGCTCCTATGGTGTGGGCAGCTATGTTGTGAAGTGAGCGGAAGATGCAAGGAGGGGGAACTTTGCGAGATAAATTTGCTACTGTAGAGCACATGGTGTTGACAGGGAGTGCTTGAAGCATGTGAGAATTGATGAGGAGATGGCTGCTGTGGAGTGGATGGCGATGGGTGGGAGTACCAGCAGATACGATGTCAAGCGAGTAGAGTAGCAGAAGACGGGGGGGTGTCTACTGCTACGGTGCCCCACGATGGCTGCTGTGGAGTGGATGGGGATGGGGGGGAGCATCAGCAGCTATGGTGTCAAGTGAGAGGAGGCAGGGAGGGGGGAGCAGGAGAAAGGGGAGGTATGCTGGAGGATTCTGCTGTTTAATAGGAGTTGGTGATGGGTGGGAGTACCATCAGGCATGACGTCAACGGAGCGGACGAGGCAGGGAGTGGGGAGCAGGAGGATGGGGAAGCATGCTGGAGGATTCTGCTGCTATGGGGGTGGGGATGGTGACGGGCGGGAGTGCTAGCAGCTGCTGTGTCAAGTGAGAGGAGGTCCAGAAGAGGGGGGGGGGGGGGGGGGGGGGGGGGTGTGTGAAGTGAAAGGGCAGGGAGAGGGAGACTTGCTGGAGGAACTGGGTGTTGTGGAACGGATAGTGATGGGCGAGATTTACTCCCTCCCTGGGAATACTACGATATAAACCACAGTGCCGAGTGAGTGGTTGGTGCATTGACCATGATGATTGCATGCAAGGAGGGAGGGCGGAGAGTTTTGGCTTACCACTAGGAGAGGTGGTGGTATGTGGGTGATCAGTAAATCACATTGTGTTAGGGCGCGTTATAAGATGCCAATGTAATTGGTTGCGTTGCGTTTTAGAGCAATTGGATCGTGAGGTAAAATGGTTGGGTAAGCAAGAATGCACTAATTATATGAATATGGAAAATCCACATTCCATCTAATATACTAACAGAAAATGTGCAACGCATACTAACGTTGTGGTGCTAGTAAAATATTTGAAGAGCTTTAGAATGTACTTCCTTCGTTGCGTTGGAGCCATAGCTCGAACCCATTCGCCAAAAATAGTGTAACCGTGGCATGTGTGATTCGTCTGCTTCGTATATACATCGTCAGTTTGCGAAACCAGGGTAATCCAACGGCACTCAATTGCTCCCCTCCCGCAGGCGGGACCATCTCGCTCGCTTCATCGATTCTCGCCACTCCACCTGCGATCAACCCCAATTTGGACCATGCAGGCGTGTTCACAAATATCATGGGTGCATGAGTAAGCTGGCAAGAAAAGTTACCCTAGTGGCCGCACTGCCGTTACCAGAGGTCGTGTGTAAGGAATTTTCCATTCCTTAGCGCGCCACACCGCTAACGCGTACCCCAACCCCACTCGGTACCGACACCTGCCCTAGCTTCGGCCCGTACACGCCACGCCGCACCATTGCACGTCACTCCGAAGCGATCCGCGTCTTCGGATGCCTTCGTCGAACCTGTTTGATCACACTGCTAGGGTTGCTCTGGTGTTCCTATATCTCGCTTCGTCATTCCATTGTACGGCATTCTGTTATTCTGAACCTCGACATTCGATTCCGCGCTACTCTGGTGAAACAGTCATAACATCTGGTAGTCGGAGCTACTCTCTTGACTTCCCCGCTTCCGTAGGCAGATTTTTGTTTTTGTTTTTGTTTTTGTTTTTTTTTTTGTTTTTTTTGTTTTTTTTTTTTTTCGGGGGGGGAGTGATTTGCTCACTGAGTTGCAAAGCAATTAGCCACAAATCAGACGAACTAATTCGCCCGACTACGATAGCGTTTGCGCTCTTACATGAGCACGAGTAATCACGGCTATTCCCCTGCCCACCCGACGTAGTGTCCGCCACATGGACCAGGCACAGTTCGATGAGCTACTGGCGAAATTCGCCGCCACGGATGCTTGCCTGCAAGCTGTGTTAAACGACGAGAGATTTCGCGCCGAAGTTACCGAACTTCGCCAGGCGCAAGAGACGACGCGCTAGAAGTCGCTCACCCCCGAGGACGCTGCCAACACTGGACGTGGCGAGACAGTATTGGACGAACTCGCACGCGAAGGTTGCAGGAGCGCCGTGATGATGAAGCCGCAACAGCAGCGAATGCCGCAGCACGTGCCACGGCAGCTGCAGAAGCCACGACAATGGCCGCCGCCCGCTCTGAAGCACCAGCAACAGTCTCTGCAGCAGCTGCAGCCACACCAATGGTACCAGTGGCCAAGATAAAGCTGCGATGCCGCCCCCTTTCAACCCCATGGGCAAAAATACCACCATGACGAGCTGGCTTTTGGCGATGGAGCTTTATTTTGACGCGGTCGTGATTACTGTTGATGATTTAAAAATCAAACTGGCTGTTTCGCTACTGAGGGGACCTGCACTAGATTGGTGGCGCTCGACGCTAAGTGAGACGGGGACTTCGGCAGGGAACACTCAGGGGTTTTTCGGGAGCTCGGAATCTGCTGCCCGGGACGCAACGTTAATTTTCGGAGCGACCAAGATTCGCACGTGGAAAGCGCGGGGTACAGCTCTGCGTGCACGTTTTGAGACCATATTTGCCTCGGACAACGCACGTACGAAGTTGGACACCTGGCACCAGTTGACCTTTGTCCAGGATTACGCGTCATCATTTCATACACTGTGCGACCAAATTACCGACCTATCAGAAGCTGAAAAAAGAATCGGTTCATCGTGGGGCTCAAATCCAAAGTTCGCTACGAAGTGAGGATGCGACGCCCAGCGACGTTCGAGGAAGCCATGGTGATCACCGGCCTGTACGACGCCAAGAAAAATATACAAGAGCAGGTTCCCGGGAGAGAAATCATTTTCGTGGCCAGGATCAACGGCCCTCGATCAACGGCATCGTGGAAAACGACGAAGATCGCAGAAAGAGACAGTGCTTTTACTGCCACCAGCCGGGTCACCGATATGCGGACTGTCCTGACCAGAAGCACAGGAAAAACAACGATGGGGATAAGCCGGGAAACGACTCTCGTAAGTAGCAGACGGGCCCCTTACTGACACGCCTGCATCGCCCGAGCAACTATATCTCCACCTGGTAGTTGTACCGGTACACGCTATCGGCTGCTCTCGGACGAATAACGGGGATGAACATGAGGATCACCCTGTGCTGGTAGAAGGAAGGGTTAACGAAAATAAGTAAATACAAAAAATCTTCATCGATGGTGGTGCAAGCCACAGCCTGATTCACCGACCGACGATGAAAATAAATAAATTTACGCCTAGAGCGGTGTCTGCACGAGATTGATGCCCGATTGGTTGACGGCACCCCACTGACGATACGCGATCGCGTGCGATCTGTTCGCATGAAGTGTGGTTACAATTTTGGCTTCAGCGCGCCGATGCTGGTGACGACACTCGACGGCTACGATGTGCTGCTGGGACGAGATTGGCTTCGGCGACACAACCCGCAGATCGATTGGTTGGCAGGCGAGTGCACAATCACGTGTGCGAACAGTTGGCAGTTACTGCCAGAATGGCGAGGAGCAGAGCCGACAACGACATGTGTCAATGCCATCACGCTGACACGCGTGGTCAAGAAAGACGCGGGATTGTACGCCGTCCATCTGAAGGAATCAATGGACGATGATCAACCAGCCGACATCGATAAGCTCTGTGCAGCAATCCCCGAAGATCTGGCGAAATTGATTCGTCATTTTCCAGATATTTTTCGGGACGACCTGCCACCTGGCCTGCCGTCTGAACGCCCTCAGGACCATCGGATCGAACTCGAACCTGGCGCGCAGCCAACTGTCCGGACACAGTGGCGGCTGACGCAACCGGAGCTCCAAGAACTACGAGACCAGCTGGACTATTTGCTGACAAAAGGGTTCGTTCGACCGAGCACGCCCCCGTTCGCTACCCCGATCCTGTTCACACCCAAGAAAGATGGGGGCCTCCGAATGTGCATCGATTATCGCGCCTTGAATCGGGTTACAATAAAATCTCGCTACCCAATCCCGCGTGCGGACGAACTGATCGACCAGCTGCGAGGCGCTCGTTCTTTCTTGAAGATCGACCTTCACGGCGGTTACCCCCAGATTCGAGTCTTCACCGACGACTGCCACAAGACCGCGTTTTGTACTCGCTACGAGAGTTACGAATACAGTGTCATGCCGTTCGGGTTAACGAATGCCCCATCGAGGTTCCAGCTAACGATGAACGGGGTATTCCGGGGTCTACTCGATAAATTTGTAATCATTTAGCTGGACGATATCTTAATTTACAGCACGGCACGGGAGCAACACTAAAAGGACCTGGCAGCGGTTTTTCAGCACATGCAGTAGAATCGCCTCATCACCAAAGGCTCTAAGTGCGAGTTTTTAAAAACCGAACTGGAGTTTTTGAGGCACGTTATCTCGACGGAAGGAGTGAAGATTGACCCCCGCAAAATTCAGGCGATTCAGGAATGGAAGCTGCCGACCAACCTCCGGGAGCTGCAATCGTTTTTGGGGTTTGTACCCAACACTGGGGCACTAATTGACCTACTTCAAAAGGGCACTGATTATCAGTGGGGGGTGAAGCAGCAAGCAGCGTTTCACGGATTAAAAAATATTCTAATCTCGCCACCGATACTTTGGATTGCTGACCTAGAACAACCATTTGAGGTCATGACCGACGCAATTGATATCGCAATCGGAGCAGTTATGCTACAAGATTTTGGCGACGACCTTCAGACAATCGCGTACGAGTCGCAAAAGTTACAATCGGCCGAACGAAATTATCCCGTACACGACAAAGAAATGCTGGGGATCGTGCACGCGTTCAAGATATGGCGATGCTACCTGACGGGAGCCGACGTGACTGTACGAACAGATCACAAGTCCTTACAGTACATGCGAGCGCAGCCGAATCTCAACCCGCGGCAGATTCGCTGGTTGGATTATCTGGAGTCGAACTTCACGTATCGCATCACGTACAATAAGTGTGCCAACAACGTCATTGACGCCCTCTCCAGACCATCTGCCCAAACTGCCGCTGTACTAATCGCTCACATGAACCCGTTGCTGAGCAGACTATTTACCCACGGATATTCAACCGACCCCTTTTTCGTAAACAACGGCCACCAGCAAGTCACGACTGCACAGGGAGCCTATTACGTAAAAGTGGGAACATAATGAATTTGGGTTCCGAGTTATCGTCTACTTCACGAATGATTAATTCAAGAAGTCCACGAT